TCTTATATTAGTTATTATTATTATTAATATAATATATATATATATATTTTTACTATTATACTTTAGTAATACAAAAATAGTTACTAGTTGTCAATATTAGTCATCAGTTTTAAAAATAGTTATAAAGTATTTGATGTGTCATATAATATGTACGAATTTTAAATATGAATATTTATTATTTCATTTTGTGGTTTATATGACGTAACATTAAATGACGAAAATATTTGATACCATAATGGTTATCATACTGTATATTATACCGAACTCATATAAAATATAATTATAAATTTATAATAATAATTAAATGAAAACTAAAAATCATAACAATATAATCATAATAATTTGATGAACATTTGGTTCTTTAGTAAAAATTTCGTTTACATTATTCTAATCTTATTATTATTTTGAATACCTTTATTATTTTTCATATTACATCAATGAAAACAAATTAAATAAATAATGAATAGAATAGGATTTTATGTTCAACGGATCATTATATTTTCAGTGCTCGATTTGGCAAAATTAAAGAAGAGGGACTCTGTTTCCTTTAAAAAAAGAGCGTCTCCCAAACTTGTTAAACGTTATAATTATAAAGTAATAATAGTAGGGGGACACTAAAATTTCTGAAAATTAGTTGGGGTGCTCTGTCCCCTTACGTTTCTCTTTAATTTATTTTATTTAATTTATTTGGGGGGAAGGGGGGTGTCATACCTAATAGTGAAATAATCTTATAAATTAGTATAAAATGTTTTTTTATCAACTTATTGTTAAATACTAAATAATAAAAATAATAATTAATAACTAAACGTATGATAAATATAAATAAATAAAAACGTATGATTGTATTAATCATATTTTTATATTAATTTATGTTGCGCATAAATGCACAGTGCATACTGACAACTGACAAGACGTGATTGTCACGGAATAGATATTGATATTCTTATCCACCGATAATTTTCCCACATCAGATTATTTATATACCATATGTTTGTGAGTGCCGTGCGGTCGATTGTTATTATTATTATCCGATTACAATTTAATTATTAGCGATAAAAATATTTTTTATATATATATATATATATTTTCATTACACTTAAATACTTTACTGAATAAACAAACTAAAATTATTATATTACTGATATGTTTAAAATTTGACGTTTTCAAATATTTATTTTTTTTTTGAGGGGGGAGGGGTGAAAAACCCCGGCACCCCCATAAATACTCAACTGTACTTAGATTTTTATTTTTGAATGTCATAGTTAAAATTAAGTACTATTTAGTATTTAAATGTATTATATATATATATATATATATATATATTTTTTTATTTTAGTAACTATATACATTTTGAACGAGAAAACAGTTTGGCATGTGGAGAACGCGGATGACTTTAAAACTTTATACACATATTTTATTCTATCCATACACATTTGGGTACAAAATATATTTTAGTGATATTGAATTTAATAGCTTATTATTTTATTATTAATATATTACAAGCATATTGACACGCAAGCCCAAGTAAGTAAAATAGAACAATCATTAATGAAAGTAATGCTTTTTGAAATATGTTAGTTATCCAGATCCCTGTAGTTAGTTCTCGATTTTGGAAGAGGGTTCAGGGAGATACCCTAAATAATTTTACAAAAATTTTAACACAAAAATGTTAAATGGTCATTTTTTTTGTGTTGCCTTCCTCTTAATTTTATTTCTTTAATTGATAGATTAATAAGTTTCAACTTTATTTTTTCATATTGTGTTTTAACTGATTAAAGTTTACGAGGAGTGCATTTTCAAATAGTTTATTAATGTAGCTTTAAATCATAGGCCCATGACTCAGAAAATAATTTATCTTAATTTTTGGTTAAATTGAGAAATCCTGATGGTATAAAATTGATGATACGCCAATATAATAAAATATATAATTGTGACTAAACGTTTTTAGTGAACCACATTAATAAATGATTGTTATCGTATGAGATACCAAATATTACATTTTAAGAATTGGGGAAGATCCGAATGAGTTAACAGATTATGGCTTATGGACATCAAAGTTTATTTATAATATTATTATCATTCCATAAGTAAAATTATAATATTTTTATAAAAATAATTTGTTTTTTTATTTTTAATAATTTGTCAGAAGCCTGGTAGTCAAATAATATCATGATGCTTTTATGGGTAACGGATAGAACATTATTGCGGATTACTATAATACAATATTGTATTTATTATCTGTGTACAAATAGACCACAAATACGAATATAAGTTCAAAATAAAATAAAATTATATTTTTCGAATGCCTTGAAAAACGTATGAATAAAAATAGTATATATTATATAAATGTTTATGCATATCGAGTGTCCGAAAATTTTGGTATACCCAACACCACATCTCGCACAAGGATTTAATATTTTCAAGTACTGTGGCTAAATAATGGTGTTTACATTACCGGCTAGCACTTTAAAATAGTAAATCTCCACGGGACACCCTGTATAAATATACATAATATAGGGAGTGTGGGACACCCTCTATACGCGTATAAAAATGGCATTCGATTCTTTGCATGTCCGTCGTACATACGTGTATATATATACCATATATTGTATTGTAGTGTTTTGGTCCACGGTCGTTGATTTTTATCAATAATGCGGGAGGGAAATCGAATTAGACTTGTATTTTGAAATACACGATGGCAACGCGCATAATATACAAAAATAATAAATAAAAATGGGGTGCGTTATAGTTGACCTTTTATATCGATGACTGAAGATTAGAAACACACATTGCTCATTCTTGAATTACGTATATGTATATATATACGTACACACACACACATATACTCATGCAATCGAAGGAGACGCAATCGATGATCATCTTATGCACTACCATTGACACTAAAGCAGTTACTCACACATATGTAGGTACATTGAGTCAGTATATACAACGTGTGTACGTTCGCAAACGCTCTAACCCCGAACGTTTTGTTTTGTATGGGACAATTCGATTTACTGGCGCAAGGGCTTGTTTAATCTTGTTCGGGGTTGTATAGTATCGGATGAACACCGCGAACAATTATTGTTTTGGAAAAACGTACTTGGGCTTCTACTGCTTATATGTACACAATAGTTAATAATAATATATATATATATATATATATATATATATATATATATATATTTATATTAAATTTAATGCGAAATGTGAAATTAATACCATACAAACCACATTGATGATTCTAGCAGTCGGAGAGTCCATTAGCAGTATTTTATGTTCTAATATACAGCTAGTTAAGGTACGACTATGAAAAATATTATATGCTTTCTATACATAGACGATATGTGGTATAATATTCAACTTACAATTTTGTAGGGATTTGCTTTTTTTTTTCTATTGGTCTAAAACAAATTTGTGTAAAATCATATAAATGCGATTTATATTACGTAGAATAAAATAATTGAGATTAAATTTTAATAGTTGGTGTTCTTTATCTTAAAACTTTTGTGCTTTTTTTTTTTTTACATTTTTTTTGCTTTAGTTTAATTTTTATGAGTTGAATAGACATACAAATTCATAAATCTAGTAATAATGTATCAAACCATGTTCCGACGTGTTGAGAACACAAGTCGGTGTCGTAAGACTTAAAATAATTTTTTGGCATTTTCAACAAGGATAGAATCGAATACCGCTTCGAAGTTTAAGCGACAATATTTTAAAACGAGTGTTTGACGAAAACAAAACTTAAAAGTCACGATCTCCGTGACACACCACAAGACATGATGTGGTTTAAGTTTACCATCTAGAAGTTTAGTGTATAGACCAGGGGTGGCCAATTTGCGGCTCGCGAGCCACATGTGGCTTTTGTCATTGTTAGATGCGGCTCGCGCTTTATTTATAAAATTAAAATTTACTTATCATATTATTATTTTGGATTTTAATTTTATAGGTTTAAATTTATAAAATATTGTCAAATTATTTAAAATTTAGTTGTATTTATCTTGTATTGGACTCTTGGAATTATTATATTTATCTGTGTGGCTCGTGAACCTATTCATGTGGGCTACCCTTGGTATAGACAAATAAAATAGACTTTTATAAATGTTTTTAACTGACGAATTGTCATATTTCTTACATATTTTCAATGTGATTATTGCAGAATACTACAAATAATTATATATTTGAAACTATTACTAATATGTAATAATAATATTGTTATTGAAGTGCATGAACAATTTATTACATTGTTGTTGATTATATATTATTTTTTTTAGTACACTAATATACATGTACATAAAGTATTGCATTAAGGTATAATTGCATTACATGCAATTATTAATACGTATAGATTCTATGAATTTTACTACCAATTTAAAACCAAATAATTATGTGTTCTACGTTATTAAATAATTAAAACAGGAAGTAACGAGTTATTAAATATTACGATTCGTTATCGTGTATATATAATAGACTATTGTTCTTTCGCATAGATTATCAATTGAAACATTAGATGCGAACCTATTGTTATCATAACTTTCTAGTATTAAGTTAAAAAATACCAATATAATACGTATACCTCTACCTATTAAATATGATACTGTACTTAAGTAAATATTTTGTACGTAATTATTAGGATGCGTTCGTGAAGTTTACTTCGAAAAAGTAGTGTAGTCAGACCACATTTTAAAGAAACGTTCGCCACTCTCATAATATTCATTAGACTTTAATTTACTATACGTATAATATATATATATATATATATATTATATTACGAGATTTCATCAGAAATTATGCTAAATTATTAAGTGGCAATAATATGCATCGAATGTTAAATTCAACTGAAATTTAATGTATATACTCGTATAAACGCATCTGATTATACGGGTTTACAGGTTTTTAACACTTTGCTATTTAATTTTTGGTAATAAAATCATACGTGTTTTTTTTTTCTTTATAAAAGAAATACATCCTTATATTATTTAATTGAAAATAAAAATTACCTCAATCAAACATTTTGCCAACAATGTGAATACCATCGGCGTGCGTAGCACGTTGCCAGCGATTCGGCAGATTTCCGTTCCTCTGGCATACCATTTGTTTGTATAACAACGCAGAGCACATTTTAAATAAACCAAATGAAGTTCTTTGCGCGGCTTTTCGGTATGTATCACTTGTAACAAATAGTTTTTTAAAACGTCCATCGATTCGTTCAACTCTATGTCGTTAAGATATCGCAATGCGTCGAAACATTTTTCCTGTAATGTTTACATAACAAGAAGTTTAAAGTATTAATTATTATTACTATGCAATATAAATTATGTATGTATGTATGGTATAATCTTTTAGAATTAATTATATAACTATTAGCGTTTTTTTGATTTATTGAATATTATATATAGTGTCTTATTATTTGCAATAAATTTTATGATTTAATTTGGTTTATTATTTAATATTAAGGAAGGTATACATATTAGTATAATATAGTATTCCAGTTTAATAAGTAATTAATGAATCTGACTATTCTGCAACTTATATATAATATTATATATTAATAAATAAAATAATCTTATTATAATTAATTTTAAAAAATGTTCATGTATTATATGATTATTGCAGTGCTGCATAATTGTTTTACACATACGGATAAGAGTAAAAAAATTTATGTGGAAGTATAAAAATAAAAATGTAAATAAATATTTCAGTAAGTAAATGATTTGTCGTCGTCCTATGAATTCAATAAGCATATAAAAAAATAGTTGTACTGTTTTATAATTCTATAGCAGTATTTTATGGAGGTACATAACATTTAGTTGCAAAAAAAAATATTTAAATTTAATATCAGACATTGTTTAAGAGTTTAATGTATATGTAATACGACTCGTTATATAAATTATAAATCATTATCAAATATACTCGTTTACTTGTAGAATATACCTACAGACTGCAATTGAAAGAAAACTATCATACATACAAACAAGGCTTATTATTATTTATGTTAAGTTGGAGGGCTTTTTAAATGTGTGTACGTAAGAATATGTGTATTCATTTTAACTTTAATAGTGTTTTCGTTATTAAAAATTGTTTTGTAGTTAATCAATAAATAAGTTGTGCAGTTATAGCAAGTAAGACTACTTACATATTTTCCTAACAATATTTTATGTTCTAAATGTTCTAAGCTTGCTGAATAGTTTCCTTTTTTGTTTTCACACACGGCCATGTAATAATGGTACTGTTCACTATGTTCTACTACCAATTTTAAGCAACGAGTTGCCAACTTTAAAATAATATAAATACAATTTAAGATAAATTTTATGTAAATCATCAATTACAAACTACATTATAATACACTTACTTCTACCAGTTCGTGTTTTAATAGTAAAATTGCACATTTAATCAAAGGATTGTTGCTATGACCTATTGATTGCCAGCTCAAAAGATTTTCGTGAAGTAGATTATTATTTTCAAATTCGTCTTTTTCGACAGTTTTTAGAGCTAAATTAATATATATATAAAATAATAGTTTAATCAAATAAAAAAATAAATAATTTTGTAACAATGATTTAAGCAATGTTAAAAAAACTGAAGAACTGAATCGATGTGTATATATATTAGATATTCATAATACACAATATCGTACATAATACCTATGGTAATTTATAATTTAAGAACACAGTTTCGATATTTGGCAAGATATTCATGAAACATTTAATACATTTCTTAAACTATTTGGCACAATGATGAATGTATTTTAATTTTCATTACGTTTATGTTCTAAAGTAATGAATAAAAAAATAATAATTGAGAGAACAATTATTATTACAATTATTCAAAACATTTCAGTCGTTGGTATATAATTAGTATAATATATAATTAGTTATAGGTAGGCAACTTTTTGAGTGCTAAATGATAATTTATAGATCTACCAGCTTATTGATGTATTTTAAAAGCAGATTAAAGAAATATAAGTATTTTATCACATCATATATGTGATATTTTTCAAAATTTTACAAATCGATACGATTCAATATTACCATGAACATAAATTCCGTTAGTCTTATTTCTCCCATAAACTCACCGTATTAAATACTTTATTACACTAAAATTACCCCTTTGTAGCATAATTTTGCTGGTTTTATACATGTTGAGTGTATAATAGTGAACACTGAGCAAGGCATACACTTCACTGAAATCTCCGTGACTCATTATCAAAGACTTCAACACGATTTCACCATTGTTGTTGTCCTCGTAAATAGTCAACTGTATTGCGGCATACAAAAATAATCTGAAAGATCAAATAATTGTTAATGAATTTCAACCCTTATTGATGGAAAATCGTTTATTGTATCATTTGTATCGACATTAATTGCAATCAAATGTAAATAATAAAATAAAACTACATTTTGACTTGTGACTGAATAGGGAATATAAATAAAAAATAAATAAGATTTATCATTCGAAAAAAATACCTGCCATTTTTTGTTTTAATTATTGTAGAATATGTTCTAATAAATGCTCTATTTGTAATTTGATATTGTAATATTGATATAAATTTAAAAAAATATAATAATCTCGGTGAGCACATTTAGAATGAATTTCATGGTTATCACAAAAATGTAATTAATAATAAAGGCATTTTAAGTATATGAAAATAGAGCAAAATTGATTTCAATGATTGTGTCTCAGAATAACTAGTTCTTGAACTGTTATAGTTGAGTTAAAACACTAAAGATTATACTGAGAGTTAGGACCGTCGTGTATTATTATGGTAAAAATGTCCAAGTGGGTTAAAATTTGGTTAAAAAGTGTTAAATTAAATAAATATTGATTGATTTTCATGAAAAAGAACTATCAAATTTGAAAAAGAGTATTATTATAAAGGCAAATTATGCATCTATAAAATTATCCAACATAAAATGGTTTTAGGGTTTTGTATGAGTTGCTTCAAAATGGTTTCTAAAAAGAAATTCATTTTTGTAAAACTAATAGTTTCGTCATTCCAATCAGAGTTTAAAAATGGTTTTTTTTTTTTAATGAATTTATTGCAAAGAAAGTTAGTTGTTTCACGTATATAGTATACTACGAACGAAAAACTACATATATTTTTCATTGGTGCATTACGAATTATAGATAGAATATATAAATTAAATACATATATTTATTTCTTTTTGAAAGTGACGATTATAAAATTGATGTGCCAGATTTTTGTCAGTCGATTTCATTTTTTTTTTTCATTTTGTGTATGTGAGCACGTGTTTTTTACGGTGACAGTAACTATACTAGTTTATAGTCCTGTTAAACTTGCCCGATTTGATTGCCACTGTCGACTAATAACACTTCTTTAACATACTCCAAAGCCGTATTGAAATCTAGTCGCCTTGAGCAAAAACTAGCGTATAATAACCAGTAGTTCGGGTTACACCTTGTGCCAGCTGTAGAGATTAACTAAAACGGACGGTAAAACGCATCATTATTGTGATTTTTTTTTCATTTTAGACGTTCTTACGTCAAAGCAGATTTTTTTTGCGCGTTCCGTCTGTTTCAGTTCGTCTGCTTCTCTGGCGTACACAATCATCATATCATGATCAGATTTTACTACGTTCTCGGCATCACCGCAAGAATGTGAAAACTCGAATGACTTGACCGTTTTCTTCATTTTATCCACTAGATCCATGAAAATCCGATTTACGAAGCTCTGCGACAGTATACACGTATCACGAGGCCATCGATATTTATTTGATTTCAAAACACGAAATAAGAAAAGTGGACGACAAAATTCACCGAGTCTTACGACACAGTTTTAGTGATATTATCCATTTTTACCGTAGCTTATGTATAATATACACTTATTATACCATTAATATTCACTGATAATTTACGAATTACTTGAATTCGAATTTATATTACCTGAATCGTTTCACCGATCATCGGACCCGCATAGTTGTCTATAATGTACTGTCGGATTTCGTTACATAATAGCGATTGCATTGATCCGTAAACGCCGGAATCCTTAAGCTCGTTCACGTAGTAGTCCTCGTTATCACCATCTGGATCATTGATTCTTATTGACTAACGGTGAAAATTAATGAAACAATAATTGATATAAATTTTACTACTATATTGAAATACTCTATGAAAATTAAATAATTATTTCTGCTATAATATATTATTTATCCGTACTGTTCCTATCAACGATTCTATGGTGGTCTTCAAACATTCTTGGTATTTATTTGACGTTATCGGTGCAACTGTTGTAGCCATTGGTTTTTCAAGAATAATGTTCAGTTCTAACATTCTGTTTAATATATAAAGTGTACAAAAAATAATAATATTAACAAAAAAAAAAAAAAACCAAGCGATTAACTAATCGAATTATCTGATTTTTTTATCGGAATTTTTTATGCTGTTACTTTGATGTTACGTGTTTTAAATATTGATCATAGAACGAATTGGACACTGAAATATCAACAACGACAAACGGTGATACCCGATCTGCAGAATTATCTGGTATGAAGTGAGTGGACAAGTCTTTAGATACATCCAGCAACGGTATTGAAGACTAAACAAACGTAACATTTCGATTATTCAGTATAATATTACTTATTGTAATTTTGTTTTGAATGAGAATTACTGATAAATAAATAAAGAGAAACATCGTCTAAAATAAAAAAAGCTTTTTATTCTGGAAATATCATGCCTATTTAATTTAAATTTCCTGATTATTGAAGACATTTACCATAATGTACAATAACTAAAGTAATATTTAAATATATTATTCCATAATTGGAATTTATTATTCTTTATATTTAAATTCAATGCATAAACAAGAAAAATATTTTTTTTAAATAACTTCTCATTACACGCTACAGATCCACAGTATTGGATTGGTATCTTTATGTATATTTTATTTGTAGCTCTATAACGTCTTATTTTCATATATTAAAAATCGTACTAAAATATATTAAAATCGATTATCGAAACATGGTTTTTTTTTTAAATATGTCTGTTGTGATACGGTGTAAAATATTAAAGGCTATTACTTTAAGTATAAAAATAAAATTATTTACTGTATTTTATATACTCGTAATAATAAATCATAGGATCATTTGTATTTTTTAACCCTTATTTTAAACCCTAACTATTATACAAGCTTACATAAACAATTATATTTTATTTCGATAGTCATCATACAAAAATATACTGTTTATGTTGTTAGATTTTATTTATCTTAGCATGTTTATTTACAACTGACATCGGCAAAATCTGTTTTTTGTCAAAATTGTAAGTGATAATAATAGTAGTTTTTTTTATGTTATTAATACTTATTATCACGCATATGTATATTCCAATAGAACAATAAATAATTCTTAACGAGCACATTCGTTAGAAAATAACATCCTAGAATAAAAGCTAGTACACATATTTAAAAGATTTTCTGTTTTAAATTCATAAAATAATTTAAAACCTTTTCTAAATGCTGATCTCCAATAGTATTTTTTTCAATAAATTCTTCGGTAATAAGAGCAGCTGATGAAAATCCATGGGTTTGTATTATATTTTCGTCAAGTGCATGGACAGTTGATAAACATCTCACTGAAGTGCCTGAAAATGACGATTAATCGATATAAATGAATATTAAAGACAAACCACTTATATTATATGGTTCTTTTACAGTTGGGTTGTAACAACATCGACAAGTCCAAAAGGGCTACGTGAACAACTTCATCGTTGACGTTTTCGTTTGATTCTCGGTCATTAAGTTCTTGTGAAAAAACCGTGTTGTTGGTTATCATAGAATTCTTAGTGAATATAAATTTGACAAACATATACCTATGTCTAACAAAAATAACAAACAAACAATATTTAAGGTGAACAGTTGTGAAGTAGTTAGTGTCATTCATAGGGCTTAAGATTGGGCCTGATCTTGGGCAAAACAAAAAAGGCGATGCGTGATTCGGAATTATATATAAGACATTGTATTAAAATTATGCGAATCAAGTATAAGTTAAAGGACTTGTAAGTGTATGATCGAAAAGATATTAATTCAAAATGACAAGTGTGTTGACATAAATTATAGTTCGATTTGGTTCGGTTTATATGAATCTATTGCATAAAAATAAATAAGTGAATAATTATTATATATTTAAATGTGAAAATACTCGAAAATAAAGTCCTGAAACGTTTGTGAAGATTTTTTGTTCAAAAGAAATCGTTGTCTCATATTCCATTCGTATCTAGGCCCTTTGAACATTATGTCTTTTGGTTCGGGAATGTTCGCGGAATTCACCACGACGGCGTCTTGTTCCTCGAACCTGTTGGGAGAAAAAAAATCGTTTCGTTGTTAACGCCATCACGAAACATCGAAACTACTCTTCAGTATTCATCATTGCGGACCACCTGTATTGATCTGCTGGGAAAATGTTTAGACCGAATTATTGTCGATGGGATTTTATATACAACAACGATCACGAAATGTCGAAATGACGGCAGCACTAAACGCTGGCATATTGTATATACTGTTTTGAATAAACTCCACGCTATTGTCTTTGCGTGTATACGTATAATACATGTATAATATAATACTGTGTCTTTTTTAAGTGGATGAACGGAGCCTATCCGTTTATTTTGTTTTGTTTGGTTCTTTTTTTTATTTTAAATATTTATTATCATTATTATTATTATTATTTTTTTCATTGACCTACCGCAGATCGACTTCAAGTGGCCGTCCACGTGAATTCGTGGGAATATTATGATTACGCACCTCTGACCCGTGGCGGATACGGTTGCCGACATGTTATCCAAGCTGTACCATCGCAGGTCGTTTACGTCCCTCGTTATGTCCGTGTACGTGCCGTGCGCAAATACGAAGCTATGAAAATCCTATAAACGAATATGTAACCTCGTGATCATCGCTATCTGATAACTTTGTAACCACCGGGAAAATGATTATGTTATTGAAACGGATATACTACGTACATTTTATTTTTACTTATTGTTACCTACAGCCACGCTGTACCACGGATTAGCGTGACGGATAGTAATTAAGTGATTATTTAGTTATTATGCCGACGTCTCTCGGAATGTTTATTATACAAAAATATGTTATTTTTTCGAACTACAGTAGAACCTCATTAATCCGGGACCTCATTAGTCCGAACTTCGCTTGATCCGGACAGCCGTTTAAAATACGTAAATTACGCTAGTATATTTATACTACCTAAACATTGTCATTAAATACGTAGAAGATAACAACGAATACAATCTGCGTATCATGAGCATCTAAGGCGCCTTCGCGAGTTAACCGTTTAAGAAATCACTGTGAAAGGAAGACAACCAAAGATTAGCAGTTTTTCTAAACCAGTAAGCATGTCAAGTTTGAACAACGAAAGCGAGTCTTAACATGTACCGTATTATGTATGTAATGATCGTAATACAATGATGTACTATTTTTTAGATTTAATATTATTAGACTTACACATATATTAGATTAAAACTTGTATAATAAAATATCAGATACATTTTTTTTTAAATTTATAATTTATGATTTTTGATTATTTTGTTCAATCCAGACTTTCATTAATTCGGACAACCTAGAGTCCCAATTAGTCCGGATTAATGAGGTTCTACTGTATCTTCAAATGAATTACTTTATTCATACAAGAACTGATAGGTGTATAATATGTTAGACGTGTATGCGGTTCAATAATGTGATTAGTAGTAACACGATTAATATGCTAAATCTACTAGTTTGAAATCAATATTATTTTTTATACAGAAGCTTATTGTATTTTTATGATGAATTAAGTAGATTTAGTAAAGTTCTTATATATTTTACGAATATTACTAAAATAATTAAAAGATAAAATTATTGACTCACTGTTCTTGTTTATATACTCGTATTTGTTTATATTACATTGATAAAAAATATATTTAAATACATTGCAATGGATTAATTATAAACAATGTAGTAAATATATATTGAATTATTATTTTAGTTTATAATACCTATACGTTATAAACATTAAATAAAATAATAAAATATTTTCTTAGTTGAATATACTTACACGCGGATTAATAATAAACTGTAAATAAGTATAGAATCAACTTTACTTTTTTATTTTAAGAAAATCAAATGTACTTAAAATACTTAACATTTGATCTAAAGTAAAAGTAGACGGATTTTAATAGATAAGTAATTAATGATTATTAATTTTACGTGAATAAAAATCAGTAAATTATTATTCCATATGATGCTTAAGATAGTTACATAGTTTACATCAGTGTTAGATTAACATAACTATATCTACACATTATACGCATTGAAGATAATTAACTTTCTACAAGTCCAATAGCCTATAGGAATCAAATCGGGGGGAAATTAATATTATCTTATAATTGTTGACCGAACGAGTCTTTAAATTATGTATAACGATTTTATATTTTATTGTAAAAGAAAGAAACGTTTTTTTTTTTTTTTCTAAGTTTTATCACCGTAAAATATTTGTATACGGTTCATAGTATACTCCATCAGTTCTGTTTTAATTCATAAACATTAATACTATGTATTCAAATAGATACTTAAACAACGAAACGGTTACTGAATACATTACGAGAACTTTGACTTATTACGAGCGTACAATAAATCTATATCGAGTGTCCTACGATTATTCATTAATTGCAACTTTGCCTGTAAACAATACAGATGTTTTCGGTTCCGTTTTCTTCATACTCTGTTATGAGTATAATACTCGACACGAGAATTACAATTTACATGGTTATTTGACATTTATTTTTAACAAATCGGAAAAAAAAAATAAAAAATAAAATGAGAAAATATCGATAAAATTGTAGTGGATGCCAGCGATACACCCTATACGTACAATGTTATAATTGAACGAGCACTACAGCAGCAGCGGCAGTGGCGTGTGGGCCGTTTTTAAGATTTTAAGAAGAGGAAAAAAAAATCGGAATACGAACTCACGCTGAGCCGTTGCCGTGCAGTCGGTACGTGTTTTACGACGGGTGTATTTGTTTTTTGGCGAAATTTATAGTGCGAGACAGTTTCGAAGAGCAGAATAAAGTAATAATAAAACAAATTCCGACCGAATTTATTTATGACCATCACATTATATTATACACACAAACACACACACACACACACAGCACTCCTACATTTTACATATAAATATATATTACACGTATCGGCATGTATACGAAAATTATCGACGCTGTTCTGTATACATTATGTATAATATCTGCGTGCACGTGTGTGTGTTATGTGAGCACAAAAAAAAAAAAAAAAACAAGACCGAGTCGTCGCGTCCTAGTCGTAAGAAAATAAAAAGAAAGAAAAAAAATAAATAAATAATATAACTCGTATAATATTATTATAATGTGATCGCGCGCGCGCGTGCCAAACGTTATTATTATTATTACCGGATCGATTGCCTCGGCTACGTCCAACGTGGCCGTACACGTGGTGGCCGCGTGACGATGACGTCGATGGCCATTCAACGGTGGATTGTACAGTCCGTGCACCGTAACGTTCAGAACGTTGTTGGGCGGCGGGAACGCTCGAAACGGACTCGTCTCCGGACGCGACACGGTCGCGTTCAGGCGCGCGCCCGCGTCCGACAGCAAATTCCGGTTGAGCTCTCCCATCGCCCTCAGCGGGTACCGTCCGCTCGCCGCCGTGTCACCGCCGTCGCCACCATCCGCGGCGGCGGCTGCCGGCGCTGAAAGAAATAAGATTTTGTTATATTCGCATGTCTTTCTGTGTCCCGTTTTTTTATTTTTATTTTACCGCGTTAGTATGATGTAGTTTCGTGTTCAGTGCGGGGCAAGAGGTCATGGGCCAGGGGTGCAGATCTAAGAGAGCGCAAATGTCAACACTATTCATGTAATATTTTTTACGAAACATGAAAAATATGTAGTTAAAACAATTTCATTTGATTATGTCACTGATAAATTTAACTCCATAAAAGTAAGAAAAGTACCATTGTAATATTATGTTAAAATAAATTTAAAATCATCTAATACAATTGTAAAACAAAAACGTTTGAAGAAAATTACATGTTTTTATATTGTATTGATTTTTTATATTTTATAGTAATACAAATAGTTATCATAGTTTATTACTTATTATTACTTTGTATACAATGTTTTTTATACATGCTTTATAGGTATATCTCAAATGATTTTTTATAAAAATATGAAAATTTCCCATCGGTGGGAGGGGTGCAAATACAATGATTCGATAAAGGCACCACCAGACCTCAATACAGCTCTGGATGCAGTGCTTCCCCAACGGGGCACCAAAAATCCGATCAAACGACTTAAAATTTATAATTTTGTAGTTTACTTTATTTAATTTATTAATTAAAATGAATGGGAAGGCATGAGATTTTTGAAAATTTATAATAGAACGTGGAATTAAAAATATTGAGAAACACTACTGATTCAGTGGAAAATCGAAAAACGCTCATAACAGGAATTTACATGTCTGTAAAAGAATATTTTTTTAAATACTACAATGAATTGCTCGTGTGATTTTATTTGGAAAATTATGAAAGTCCAACATATTCGTGTTATATATATAACTAACATAAATCTTCTTTAGTTTTTCCGCTATAGTAGTCATTGGCAATTATGTACTTTCTAAGGGGGGTCCGAATGATTTGAATATTAATTTTTGAGGTTCAGAAACAAATTGCATAATTATTTTTGTAACGAAATTACGTTCATTATTTTTTAATTTTATTATTATTGTTTAATTATTATTAGTGGTTCAGTTTTTTAGCATCCAATATCCAGATCTTAACGTCTGCTCTAAGTCTTTAAACTTCAAATAATTTTATTTTTTATTACAAAACTTCTCTCAAATGCTATTTAAATGCATTAATCTATGTATTGCTTATAGCTTACATGCTTATATATTTATTATATAGAGCTAAATTATCAACTATGTTAAAAAATCTTTAAAAGATATTTGGTTGTAACAGGGACACCGCTAGTTTTTAGAACGTAGAAGACGTGTTTTATATTATCACAATGAGATTTCAATTTTTATTATAAAATATTGCCATACTTCCGTGATTTATCACGTATATACAATATATGTTATACATATGTATACATAATACTTAGTATTAGATAATATATATATATATCAATCGGTATACTTAATACGGTTGTAGGTATAGTGTTAAATTAATCTAATATTTTACGAGTAAATTAGAAGCATTAACTATAGATATAGCCTACCTTTTAACTATTATATTTTTATTTATGCATAATGCATTGTTTTAACCTGTAGGACAGGGCCTTAATAATGCTGCATTAATTGAAAAAACCAAAATATAAATGAGTATGTAGTTCTAATTTTTCTATGACCCTAATGGATTAAAATATATGTGTATCTTTCGAATTAAATGATTCATTACCATATATCAATGGCAACAAGTCTACAACGCAGACCCATGTTTGATGAATACTACTATTTCTTTTTATTGATTGTTGATAGCTTCGTTCAATTTCATTCAGTGATTCGAAGTAAACTGCGAAATTAAATAAAAAGTGTAGGCAATGACTTACTTATACATTCCTTATTTAATTGTATTAATATCACATCAGTATCATATTTCATCAATCAATATAGATTTATTATTATGCATTCTATAAAGGACCTAAACATAACATGCCAATAACATAAAAAATGTTTTACTGTGACATAATTAAACCATTGATTATACCTTATATACAATGATTATTGATTATTTGTTTAATTAATATTCGTATGTATATAATTCGTTTGTACGGATAATTTTAGTTACATAAATACATGAATTATGAATGCACAATCATAAAGTAAACGATTTTTTATGATACTGGTATGGATGGTCGAATTCATATCTAGTTAAAATTAGTTAAATAGTTATCAAACATTTACCTAGCATAGGATAAGAAGCAAAACTGTTGTACTCAGAAATTTCATTCAGAGGAAAATTTAAAGCAACTTTTAAATTAATCGTCCCTGCTCCATCCAACACAGTAACAATCACATTTTCTCCGTTCAATAAAATATCATGGAATTCAACATATACATTAAATTGTAGCGGAAAATTAAGAGAGATTTCCTAAAATAAGTTTAAAATTGTTAATAAATATTTTAAACTAAACTGTGATCAACGACTTACTAGATCTTCGATAAAATCCAAAAACAAGATAAATTCAAAGAATTGCTCAACTTTATTTATTGATGAGTTATCCATTATGACATAAACGAATAAAAAAATCGTGAAATAAATTAAGTTTAAATAATTTGTTTGTATTTTATGAATCGAAATGCTATGGTGACATTTTATTTTAAATTTAATAAGTATACAGCCGTATTGGCAAAATTGTATAAAAGTTAGTAAATATATTATGTATAATTGCATTAAATAATTTCGATTCGGACGATTGGTGTTAGGTTTAATTAAAAAATCTGGAGATTGTTGTGGAGATGTTCATCTGGAGATGTTCTAAAGGTTTAATTTTTTTTTTTTTTGAGAAAACAAAATCAATTAAAAACAAAATAATTTTAAATAAATGGAATTGGAAATAATTTTGAATGTAATGACTAAAATGTTTTAAAACGTGGCTTTAATCACTTATATTACTGAATTCACTGAAAATTTTAATTTCAATATATTTAGTTACTTATTATATAAAACCAACCATCTGGACGGTTCTACTTATGCTGGAATACTTGTTTTTTCTGATAAAAAACATAATGAATTGTCATGCTTTCAAGATTCATATAAGCAAGCAACAATTATTTTCATCATAATATAAAGTATATTGATTAAAATGTTGTCTACTTACAGTCCTCCTCGGTATAAAATTTAACGGATTTTTTCAAATGTTCGATCAGTTATTCATTGATGGAGATGATTACAAAACTTAAGCACGCGTAGTATCATACTCATATCACAAATGTTCACAATCACTATTGAAAAACCTGCCGCGCAGATTTAAGCGAAAATGTTAAAGAGATCACTTAAATAAAAGAGTTGTGAACAATGGATTGCTTTCTGAATATATAATTTCTTTCAATGTAATCTTTGTTGTCAAATTTTTTCTTTGCTATAGTTTTTTTTAACATATTTTAAATTTTCTTTTAAATAAAGAAAAAATGTAATGCATTTCTTTTATCCGAAGTTTTCACGCAATTGCACCGTCTACACATATAATTATTTACAAATAAAAAATATTTAATATTTCAATTGCTGATTATTTAGTTAACTTTGATTTAGCAGTATACGCGTTAATTCAAGGCGGTCGAACGGTGCGCGATCGGTGTAAGTAAATTAATAGTATATTAATAATCAATTTGTACCGCAGTCATTTAAAACATTTATGCAGAACAATAACGTACGTAAAAAGTTACTGTATGTTAAATGTGTTTTCTCTTAGGTCGGACCAGGAAAAATAGGTATTTACCATGCGCCAGAAGATAATAAGTGACCGCAGATTACGGTCCGTTTGCGGTGTGTGGGTCCAGGCCGGACCGACTGCGACGATGCGAGTTGTCCGGGGTGCACGCACTTTGAACGGCGGCTAGCAGTCTCGAGGTTTTATTGCATGATGAGGTTTTTTTTTATTATTATTATATATATATATATATATATATATGGCTGCTGGATGATCTTTCTCTCTTGGTATCTATTATATATAAGTATTAATAGACATACCTGAGTTTTTACTGTGCACTTATAAACCCGTTGTTTTTTCCTTTCCCCCGCTCGCACCACTACTACACTCTTATTCCGATTCTCTTTCTTACATATTTCTTCCATTTCATTCGCGTCTTCGTTGTTCTTAGTCACACACACAACACACACATGCACATACACATACACATAACCGCCTGCATTATTATTACACACAGAGAGATACTAGTCGCGTTAAATCAACAGCCGCGTGCGTGTTTTGAGTGTGTTTATGCGCGAGCTAGCTCGTTCGTACGCGTATACGCGAGCAATGTGCATAAGTAAAAGAAAGAAAAAAAAGAAAGAGAGAGAGAGAGTACTAAATGGAAAAATATAAAAGAAATCTCGCGGTAATAATTTAATAATATAAAGTAGCGGGGGAAAATTGAAAAGTCAAATAAAGAAGAATAAATAAATAATAAAACCGGAGCGTTTATAGCGTGTGCCCGATCTCCGAAGCCAGATAGAACTCTCGGCTGTGATTAATGGTCGGTCATAAAGTTCGAAAAAACAAATGCCCCGAGACTTGCGAGATTGATGAATTTACCGAGTCGGCCTCGTCCGAGCGGACACCTCAATGTCATCAAGAGATATATAATAATGTTTTTTTTATTTATATTTATTTTTTATTTTTAAATCGCTCTTTATTGGTCGTAAACGTTTTTAGTTTTTACCGTGCGTGTGTAATGTTTGCAGACGGCCGGCCGCGCGGCGGTGAATGGAATGCAATCACACGCAGCCAGCTTACGCGTGTCCATGCACCTGATCAAAGAATATGTGCGGTCTGCGTGGCACAACGTCATAAGGGCTGTTGCTGTTCGTTATAGTTGTTGATTTCCAACCGTTTCGTCTTTCGTTTTCTATACGTCCGCGGCGCATGCAATCCTTCCGTTCTCGCACGAGTACCACCACCATTTGTTCGACGCGGGGCGCGTGGAAAAATATAATATTTATATTATACAAACGTGCTGTCTAATTATTTTGACAGCCGTACGACGAATGATGATAATAATGTTACAAAAAAAAAAAACAACTACACAACCGGGAACATTATCATACATTATACGGACGTGTGTATTACAGGGGAATTGTACGCGCAGTCAACAATATCCATTGTATACGTTAATACGGTGTAGCATGCTTTTTTTAGCGTTTGTACAACATCGTTTTCCGACGATCCACCACGGTGAATATATTATATCAATTACGACCAATGACTAATCTCGGACGAGTTAGCCACGCACTTCGCAATGACGTGGAAATATTTATAGGGTACATATTATGACGTACAATCGGCATTGGATGCCGTTTGATCGCCGCGCGGATACGTCATTGTATTTCGTTTGGAATATATTATAAATACAATTGTGACACAACATTTTATATTATTACTAAAACTTGTAGAATATATGGTTACTATGATTTTTGTGTTTCGTTTACGAAAAAAAAAACAATATACGTGTATTCATTAGAAATAAAATACATATAAATATTGTATTTTAACACGGGTGCAATAAAAGTAATGTGTAAGGATTACAAATATTATACACTTACTTGTTGAAACGATAGTGGTAATTTTTTTAGAAGTAAAAATTATACAACTAGTAATTCCAAAGATAGTAATATTCAACTGCGTTTTGAAGCGTTATTTATTATTACTTTGACTCCAAGGATAGTAATATTATTTACACTGTAAAACCACTTATAAATAATTATAAATACATTATATATAAACGTTTCAATAATATACGTGCATATATATATTTTTCTATATAACAGTATTATGTATGGATATCTAATAATATTTTGTACGTTAAACACTGATTTTCTTGATTAAACAACAATGACGCACCATATAAAATCATAACTATGTAACATTATATCAAAAATTGATATTATTATATAAGTTTATGGAAAATATAATATACCTTTATTTTCAAATTTTAAAGAAAAAAACTATAAAAATAACGTATTGAAAACAAATATTAATTAGAAATAAATTTTTTTTTAAAACGTAAATGAAGTAGTACACCAATATTTTACAAAGTATCTATATTTTCTCAATACGAATCTAGTTCACTAGTTTACTTAGCAAACTTAGATATTTATAAAATATTTAACCATTGATTTTATATATTTTTGATGGAATATTATGCTCCATAACAGCGTATTAATAATATGCCATTTGAAACAATATAACTTTAGAACATTTTATGTTAAAAAAAATAAAACCACCAAATTAATTCGCAAGTGTGTCATATTGTAATAACTTTAAATAATAAAAAATTAAATTTTCAAATAATAATTATACCAAGAAAATATTTATAAAATTATCTTGAACATTAATTATTTTTAATCATAATTTATGAAAATTAATTATAAGTCTAACCAAAGTCTTAAGTTATTTTTATTTGAATTAATAAATTGGTTTGAATTAAAGGTAGATTCAGTGGTGTATTTTTGATGGGAGTGTTAGTCGGATCTTGACCCCCTCCCAGAAGAAAAAAAGTTCAAATGCCATAAAATACTTGCTACGAAAGTACAGAGAAAGCGAACATTAATTTATGTCATGTGATCGTAATTAACTCTTAATTTTTATTTGTAATAATAATAAAATATAATTATTAATGCATACTTTATATGTATTTTTTATAATATTATACAATACCTTATTTTTTAGAAAAACTTTAACTCCCACCCCACACACACAAAATAAAATATAATATACATCATTGTGTGGACCGTAAGATTAAAGGTTAAATACATTATTCCAAAAAAAAAGATTTGTATGAGCTATTTTTAATATTCCAAAAGTTCAATTTGAAAAATTATAAATTATCAAAGGATTTTTTTTTGCGACCAAATTTAAAGTAGAAGAATGATAATTAATATGTCATACGTGTAATTACATGTATAATTATACTATTGATATGAACACCATTTATTTAATATTTTAAAAGTTATTTATACGAACATTTTTTTAATTTAATTTCCGTTGTATGTATATTAACTAACAATTTAATATATTTTATCAACATTTATTTACAACTATTGAAAGCTAAAACAGACTTGTTTTAATAAGGCTCATGTTAATTTTGTTCATTGAATTTCTTACCTTCACAAATATTACAGCACATAACATAAATTATATTTATTTTTTTAATTTACGCGATTTCAATCGTTATTATTTATTTATTGTTTTAGCATAAAACATGAATATAAAAGAAAATTTACCAATATAAACGTATCAATAAAGCATATAAAATTAATACAATCAATCTTCATATATTTACATATATTTTTGGTCCAAAAAATGTATACGTATTACACATTGTAATATATTTTCATTAAGTCTTATATTAATGCTTTCAATAATTAAAAAAGAAAACAATTTGGTATATGTATAATCAAAACATATATATTTAGTAATAGCATAGCTGTAAAACTATCAATTTTATCAAAATTAAGAAAATACAAAAAAAAAGGGAGCAAGACTCCCAGATCAGATGAGTTTCAAA